AAGAAAGAAAGAAAGAAAGAAAGAAAGAAAGAGAAAGAAAGACAGACAAGCTAAGGTTCTGTGTTACCCAGAAGAGCTCAGCAGACCAGAAAGAATTAGAACCATAGCCACCCATGGCTCAAGGAAATGTGGGTGTCGGGGAGAGGTAGATCTGCCAAGCTGCTTCCTCTCTGGCTGCCTGGGCTGAGGGGGCTACAGTCTATATTTCAGGAACATGGGATTGTTTGACATTAGCCCAGGACCTGAGCCTACAGTAGTCACCCACTGTGACCTCCATGCCATCGGAAGAAAGTGTTGTCTCTGACAGACTCAAAGTCATGACATTGGCAGCCAATGGTGCAACCTGTCCACCTTATTGGAGAGAGTATCATATTAAAGCATTGAGATTACCCTGGATGGACGAAGTTGGCAAGATCCTTAAGTTGAACTGTGACTGGGACATCATGAGACATGGAAAAACTTCAATTCTTACAATGTCCATCACCAACATGTTTTAATAAGAGATGAACGTACACATTTGGCTTCCTCAAAATGTTTACTTCAAGCAGGCATCTCCACGCAGAAGGTCAGTCTTCTCTGGCTTTTGATGGGATCCAGCAGCCTCCCCTCTCCTCCTCTAGGTTCCCTGCCTTCATGATGGGGAAAGGGCTCATGGAAACCAAATCCTGGAGGTGGATGTTGTCTGCTGAGACAATGGCATCAGCCCTTCCAACCAAGGCCAACCCCAAACCCAACAGACTGCCCTCTCTCCCTTTGCAAATGTACACATGTCACACATCTGGGCCCTCCAGTTCCTCCCCAACAGTGGCAGAGAACTATTGCTGGAACCCCAGGAGCTGCCTCTATGTAAACACCAAGCCAGCCCTTGATAGCAGGGGTAAGCAAGAAACCAAGGGGGGAAGGATTCCTGGTTCCCTGACCCTGACGGGAGTGGGTGGTTGGTGTAGCATCTTTTCAGTTTCTCTGCCCATGTAGCCAGTTACCCACCCTCAACATCCAAAGCACTGAAACCTGAGTTAATTGTTTTTCTTTCTTTAAGAGTCACCAACCAACCTGACCGATGAGGGGGTCAGAAAAAAAGCCCCTGGTGTGGCCTTCATTGCTTCCGAAGGGGAAGCCCCCCACTTTGGCTTTGGGCTTTATCCTCACCTCCTCTGGCCTCTGTACCCAATTCCTGGGGGAGAGGGAGGACGACAGCTTTCTGAGGTGGTCATCTGGTAGAAGTCCAACTGTCCCCATGGACACGTGAATCTGCTGGAGCCAGAGAGAGCGACTCCAGAGGGGGCCAGGAGGGGACACATGGCTCAAGTTCAAATGCATGTCCATCTGCCAGAGTCTCTACTAGTCCGGCCCTGGGGAGGCAGACCAAGGGGCCCCTTCTGAGAGAGCATCTCTCAGACCCAGGAAGAAGCTGTTCAGGCCACAGCCGGGTCACCTGCAATTTCAAAGAAGAAAACCTGGGGCCAGGGGTGGAGAAGAAATCTCTGAAACAGGTCCTGTTGGTGGATGGCAGGTGTTGAGTCCCTGGGTGGCAGGTCTATACCGGGCTATGGGCCTGGACTGTCTCTACAGAGATGTGTAGGTGGTTGTTCACCAAGGGTGTGACTGGCTGACTCTGGGTGGCATCTCGTTGGCTACTGGTGACACCGGCCACTCCCAATGTGGCAGTTTTCCCATGCAGGTCCACAGGTTATTAACAAACCTCCCCCCACGCATCCAGAGGACCCCCGGAGCAAATGCCTCCCCACCCCCAGGTGGATCTTGATGAATATGAGCAAACGGAGTCAAGACACAAAACCCTGTTGGTCCAGGTTGTCCTTCTGGGTGAGTTCTTGACGTCGGCAGTGACGGTCGGTGCCCCAGCCAGGCTCCACTAGCCCCCCGTGTTCTACAGCCTCAAAGGCTGGCTCAGCCCCGCATCGGTCCCTACTCCTGAGAGCCAGAGTTCGACCTGGTGACGCCTGTGCCGTGCGTCCCTCGGCCGACCATCTCCTGGCCCCACTCTCGGTGGCTGGACTCCTGTAGTCCACGGCCTTTGGTCTCAATGGGCAAGAAGCAGGAGGCCAGGGCAGCCAGGAGGCAGCAGCCGCTGTACACGGCCAGCGTCAGGTACACGGAAGATTCCAGCATGACCTGGGGGAGGGAGACACAGGGCCGTGAGCACATCTCTTCTGAAACACGGGCACCACCGACCATTCAAGAAGTATTGCTAAAGCCAGGCCCTCTTGGAAGCCCTCTGTGGGATTATCCCATTCAGTCCCCACGACTAAGAGCGAGGGAACTGTCCCCATTTTAAAGAGGGAAAAACTGAGCCTCAGAGAGGGTTAAGTAGCATACTCCAGCTCACACAGATACTAAGGATGGGGCTGGGGTTTGAGCTCAGACCCCATTAGGGTCAAGTGTCTGTATTCCTTGAAACTACACTCTCTCTCAGAGCAGTACCTCTGCTGACTTTCTTGCTCAACAGCGGAGCTAAACGCCATTTTCTCATCTGCCAAATGGGTAGGGGCATTATCTACCTCCTAAGGATAGGATCCCTCAAGAGGACTTGGCACCATGCGGGCACATGGCCAGCCCTCCACAGGAGGTAGTGGTGACATAAAATGGCCAAACAGAACAGCCCAGAACAGAGATACTTGGCTGAAACATGGGGCGGAATTCTGTTTATGTGAAATATCCAGAATAGGTAAATTCATACAGACAGAATGCACAGGGGCGCCCACCTGGCTCAGTCGGTAGAGCATGGGACTCTTGATCTCAGGGTTGTGAGTTGGAGCCCCACGTTGGGTGTAGAGCTTACTTTAAAATAAAAATGCACATTGGTGGTGGGCTAGTGGGGAGAGGAGAAATGGGGAGTGGCTGCCTAATGGACATGGAGTTTTATTTGATAAAAACCTTTGGGAACTAGACAGCGTTGGTGTTGGTGCAACGCTGTGAATGTGCTAAATGCCACCAAATTGTTCACTTTAACGTGGTTAATATTATGTTATGTGACTTTTACCTTGGTAAAAAAAGGGGGGGGGATAAAGAGAAAAAAAAATGAATTGGATATCAAAGAAGCAAAACAACTTCAAAATAAGATCCCTGGAAGTGGATAGAAATGCTCTAAGACCCATAAGAGGCTGCAAAATTCTGCAAATACACCTAATCATCTAACTCAGAAACCAGGGCCTGAGACATCTGTTTCCCACTAAATCATGTTGCTTTCAACAATTTGTTTTCATCTTACTTGTTTTCATCCAATCAGTTTTTGGCCAAATCGTACGGCACCCCCAGGGTCTTCTGCATAGGAAAGACTCAGGTTTGAGTCCTAGCTTCTCTGCTTCCCAGCTGTGTGACCTTGGACAAGTCCCTTTACCTTTCTGAGCCTGTTTTCTCATTTGCAAGCTATACGACTCCTTTCATAGGATGAGTTGTTAGGGTAAAAGAAGATAATGCACACCACCGAGGGCTCTGCAGAAGGCTCAACGTGGAGTAGCTGCTTGCCATGCTTTGGCTTTTGTCACGTCCACCCCCTCTGTATCTGGGGGCGATACCCACCTGAGCAATGAACGGGGTAATGAGAGCGCCCACTCTTGCCATGCCACTGCAGGTGCCCAGGCCCAGCGCTCGAGTTGCCGTGGGGTAGACCTGAAACACAGCCATCAATGTGGGCTTGAGAAAATGCAGGATCCTCCCTCTTCTCTAGCTCAGGAGTGATGGGACTGACCCCCACAGGCCGGTCTGAAGTTAGCGTGAGTCACTCAGGTGTTGGTGACCACATCAAGGGGTGGGACACCAGGTGAGGAGTCTCATCTCAAAGGGAGTAGGAAGTTCAACTGAGAAAGAAGGCAAGAGGCCAAGCTGTGGGTGGGAACCCAGTAAGGGGGGGTCCTCCCTGCCCGGGGTGGTCCCCCAAAGACTCCACCAGGAACTGGTGCACATTTAGGATCCAGACCCTGTTCCACCTGCCACTTTTCACTCATTCACCTTGAAGCACTGGTCACAGCTCTTCCAAGCATTTCATAAAGAAAGAGGTGGAAATGTTTACACGGTTTCTCAGTTGGTACCCAGGAGTGGCTCCCATGCCTAGCTCTCCCTTGGGCAAAGTGAGAAGTCACTGTGCATCTTCCAGGCCAAGGCAATTAAGAAGTAGGCATGTCTTCTCCACTCCCTTCCCCAGTCCACTGGCTGGAAGGAGGACTCCGAGGACTCCAAGGCCCTGGGGCAGGATTTCTCAACCTTGGCACTACGGACATTTGGGGATGGGTCCTTCTTCGCGGTGGGGGCTGTCCTGTGCATTGTAGGATGTTTAGCAGCATCCCTGACCTCTACCCACTAGATGCCAGTAGCACCTTCTGCCCTGCTCTCCCTGAGTTGTGACAACCCAAAATATCCACAGGCATTGTAAATGTCCCCGGGACGGGGGGAGGGGGCGGTGCTGGCAAAATCACCCTTGGTTAACAATTACTGGATGAGGAATTTGCAAGATGCAAGGAGCTTGGGTCCCCAAATCACTGTAGAAGTGAAAGCACACCCATTTGGACTGTTTCATTAGTGAGAAACTTCTGTTGTGTCAATACATTCCATTTGGGGAGTTATTTGTATAGCAGTTAGCATGCCTCCAACAACTACAATGCTCAGTGCAGAAGCTCGAGAAGAATAAAGAACATACAGGGAAAAGCAAAGCTCATGCCTGATCCTAACACTCAGAGATAACCATTGTCACATTTCCATGTGTATCCTTCCAGATTTTTCTATGACTGTATATGTATCTGCATTCATTTATTTATTCACTCAACATATACTTTAAGTGCATACCATATGCACTTACATATGATATTTTAATTCACCCAATGACACAAGCAATATATAAATATATTCTCCTTATCGGAAATTAAAACACCTGAACTCCCTTTGATCCACAACCTCTCCCAGGAAATATTCCCCAGAGCTCCCCACTGTTATAAAGTTTGGAAGGTATCCACCCAGATGCGTTAAAAATATGTGTATACAAAATATATAGCATTTAAAAAATATATATGGTGTCATATCATACTGACCAGTCTGAAACTTGCTTTATCCATTCAGCACTATGTCTTAAAATCCTATGGGTATATAGACATCTACTTCATTCTTTTTAACTGCTATAATTGTATTCCACAATGGATATTCCACAGTTTACAATTCAATACAGATTGGTAGACGTTGTATTAAAAGAGGGGCACAGACACTGACCAGCAAAAGGAAGTCAGGGGAGGGGAAGATCTGGGAGGGCTTCTTGGAGGAGGCAGGATTGGTGTTAGGCCTGAGGTGGGGTGGAGGGAGCTGGGTTCAAGATGATGACTCAGAGTGAGGACTCTGGAGTGCTGTGGGGAGGAGGGGTAATCTAGACACCCTCCTTTCCCTGGCACAGCATCTGGTACATAATATTCTCCTCCTCCCTTTGCTCCAATCTAAAATAAAATGAAATAAAATACAATAGGTCTAAAATAAATAACCCATAATCCTGAGTGTGGGAAATTGGACATGCTCGGGCACTATTGTGTGGCGTGTAAATTCGTGCAACATTTTACGGGGTGAGCTCTCAAATCCACTCAATATTTGTAATGTTTATAGGCTTTAACTCAGCAATTCCACATCTTGACATTTATTCTACGGGACGCACACATGTACATGACTGTGTAAAGCTGTTTGCCTCGGCATCGTTTGTAATAGTGAAAACTTGGAAAACAATCCAAATTTCTGTTAGTAGGAGAATTGTTATAAAATTATGATTTGCCCACACTATACTATATAGTATAGTAAAATATATAATATACATGCATATATATACCATATAGTATAATATAGTATACAATATAAAGTATATATATGGTATAGTGAAGTCTAGTATATAATATACATAGTATATATAGTATATAGTATAATAAAATAGAGTATATAATATACAGTTGTATACTATATAGTAACGGGATAGTATATGATATACATAAAATAGAGTATATAATATACAGTTGTATACTATATAGTAATGGGATAGTAGTATAATAAAATAGAGTATATAATATACAGTTGTGTACTATATAGTAATGGGATAGTATATAGTATAATAAAATAGAGTATATAATATACAGTTGTATACTATATAGTAATGGGATAGTATATAATATACATAGTATATATAGTATATAGTATAATAAAATAGAGTACATAATATACAGTTGTATACTATATAGTAAAGGGATAGTATATAATATACATAGTATATATAGTATATAGTATAATAAAATAGAGTATATGATATACGGTTGTATACTATATAGTAACAGGATAGTTTATAATATACATAGTGTATATAGTATATAGTATAATAAAATAGAGTATATAATATACAGTTGTATACTATATAGTACAGGGATAGTATATAATATACATAGTACATATAATATATAGTATAATAAAATAGAGTATATAATATATAGTTGTATACTATATAGTAAAGGGATAGTATAATATATATAGTTTAGCATATAATAGGTAGTATATATTAGTATATTACATATAGGATATACTATATATAGTATATACTTTATACTATATAGTACAGTGTAGTAGAGCAAGTACTGAAAAGAACAAAGTAGATCCATATGTCCTGCGCTCCTTGTCTTCAATCTTCGTTCCCAGAATTCCCCACCTCATTCTCTGCCCTGGGGCTGGCTTATGTGGACCACAGGTCAGCCCCAGGCTTCTGGTTGGGAAGATGGGAAGGAGGTAGAAGAGGTCTGGGTCTTCTCCTGCTCCTTCCAGGTTGCCTCGGGCCACATGTGTCCCCTCAACTAAAGGCCACAACTTCTCTCTACAGCTCTCCCCTGGGACTCTGGAACACTCCCCTCCCCTCCCCCCCACTGGCCTCGGGTGGCAGCAGTGTCCCCAGCCACCTCCACCCCATTGCAAGCTCTGGGGCACTTTATTGCTCTCATGTTTCCCTAAGCCTTGTCCCACACCACTATAATGAGTTTCTTTATTAAAACTCTTCCCAGTTGCTCACTTCCCCAATATGGTACATGCACTAACATAAATTAGTATGTGCCTAGGAAAAAACTGAATTATTAAAAAAGGTGGTACCTAGGAAGGGGGAACGTGGGGCCCGTTAATTTTTGGTTTTATGCAGTTCGATACCATTTGCAACTTTTACACTGAACATCAGCTTTCATAAGCAGAAAAAAAAAATGATTGAAAGATAGCCTGCAATAATGAAGAGCCTCACAGTCACTACTCAGACAGACCCACGGACAAATCCCATTCTGAGGATCCCAGGCTGGGTGTTTCTGGAGGCGGAGCTCCCTCCCTCCCCTTCCCGGCTGCTCCCAGACCGCCCCTCCTACCTCAGGTGTGTAAACATAGGCTGCCTGGAAGCCTCCAGAAATAAATGCTCTTGCAATGAAGAGTAACAGAGTGAGCATGTTTCTAGGGAGAGAAATAAAAAAGATGAGCAGGGTTTTTTTGTTTGTTTGTTTGTTTTTTTCTGTCAGCTTGTTTCAGCAAAGTCCTATCTGCCCAGGCAGAATTTATACCCTAGAAATTGGCTCAGCCCACCCCCACCCAACATATCCACACAGGCACACAATCCTGGTGCCTTCTCTAAAGGCCTGCCTTTATAAATTTATCATTTTCCAAAGTTCCAGGCTAAGAGCTGCAAACATCTGTGGTGCCCAGGTTTAGGGCAAGGTCAGAGAGAAGTGATATAAATCATTGAAAAACCCAGACGGGGCCTGGTAGAGTCAGGAGCCAACTGAGCCAGTGAAAGTAAACTACTATGCAGTATTTTTAGGGTAATCCTGGTCCCCGACCCTCTGTTCCATTGTTCCCCAAAATGCCTAAGAACACCAACATGTCAGGGTCTAAGCTACCTCTCCAGGCCTTCCACATATTCCTCATCAGCTTTGGTCTGGGGCCTCTCTGAGGTCAAGAGAGGCATAAGCCTCTTCCACATTTTGAGGCTCTTCAAAGATGGAAAAATGGAGAAATGCCAAAAAAGGGATTATACAACAGGCCCTTGAAGTATTTCCGTTGAACGAAGGAATGCTTTTAACCCATACATAAACAGTTGTATGCACGATCTCACTGGGAGACAATGTCAAAAGCCTAAATGTGACAGTGTTGGAGCAAAACCTGGACCAAAGTGCCCTCCCAGCCCTACCCCCATCAGAGGCCCAAAACTGAGTCTGATCTTGTGGTCAAGAGTCTCAGTCCTAGTGAGGGACCGGGGAGGTAGGGGGAATCTCTCAGATGACCACCAGGAGTATAGTCCACAGCTTACAGGCCCAAAGAGACACTGACCATGACCTGAGAAGTGAACCTGCTGGTCAGAGAGAGCTGGTTTCCAGACCCACCTTCCAACACAGATGAACAGCAGGAGGCTGCAGAGGGAGAAGATGATGAAGCACAGGGCCATGGTCTTCTTGCGGCCCAGGCGATCAATAATCCATAGAGTCACAAGGACACCTGGGGGAGGGCAGGGGCACCATGGCTGGAGGCTTCCAGTATGGCTCCCAATGCCCCCCACCTCCTGGTATTCACACCCCATATAATTCCCTGCCCCTGAGAGTGGGCTGGACCTGGTGAGTCGCTTCTCATGACCAGAATACAGAAAAGCATTGGGATGTCACTTCTGAGATGAAGTTGTAAAAGAATGTGGCTTCTGCTTTGCTGGTATTTTCTCTCCCCCTGACTCTTCTTAGGCGCTGGCCTAAAAGTGGCCTCTGGCCAATAACCGGTGAGGAACTGAGGCCCTCAGTCCAACAGCCCTGGAGGCATTGAATCCTGCCAACGACCACGTGAGTGAGCATGGAAACAGACCCTGTCCCAGCTGAACTTTCAGATGTGACTGCAGACGCTGGGCCAACACCGCCACGGCAGTCTTGTTAGATAAGCTGAAGCAGAGGACCCAGGTAGCCACTCCCAGCTTCCTGACCCACAGAAACTGTGAGTAATAAATACGTTGTTTGAAGCCACTAAAATATGGGATAATTTGTTACACAGCAATGGATAACTAAATAGGCACCAAGGGACGTGGCATTCATTGAATCCAGGCAATGGACCCCAGGGATAGGAGTCAGAACCACGCGGGTTCTAAGGCCTCCTTCTGCCTCTGACTTGCCATGTGGTCTTGGGTTTGTCCCTTGCCTTTTCTGAGCTTCAGTTACTGCATCTGTAAAATGGGACTCAATAAAAATAAGACTCCCTACTTCAGTAGAGACAGTATAGCATGGTGCTTATTATTAATAATATTAATAATAATTATTAAATCTAGGCTCAGCACTTGTACATCTATTATCTTGCTTAATCATCAAAACAACCCCCTAAAATAAATGCTATCAACACCTGCATTTCCCACACTTATTCAATCGAAAAATTAAGTGCCTACTGTGTGTCAGGAGCTGTTCTAGGAGCCTTGGGATGTGTCAGCGAGCAGAAACAACAAATCATAAATGTAATAAATAAGAATTATCTGAGTTTCAGAAAGGTAAAATCATGGAAATCATCGAAAAGTCGTGGAAATGGTTATTGGCAATGTGGTGTCTAACTCCAAGTCCCTAGTCTTACCCTCTGAGCTCTGTGGGGGAAGCGTTTTAGAAGAAAGATAGGAGTGAAGACTCTGGGCTCTGGGGTGGGACCTCAGTTCTTAGCTCTGCCAAGTGTAGGACACTCAGTGTTTTAGCGGAGCTTTCCTAGGAGCAGACGCTGGGACAAGGGTCCAAGTACAAGTGTTTACTTGAGAGGTAACCCAAAGAAACACCAGTGGGAGGCTGGGAAAGTAAGATAGGGAGGGGAAGGCAAGTTACCATTGTGGGCAGTTGCTATCGAATTCCACTGGGGGGCTCTGGGAGCCAGTGTGGAACATGCATCTTAGAATTCTCCTGCCTGATGGGCGAGGAAGCTAGGGTATTTATATACCACCAACTCCTGCAGTTATCATTTGAAAGCAGCTCCCGGATGTTCACTCCCTGGGACTTCCAGCCACCTTGCTTGCTTTTAGGTCCTGAGGCTTTCCATCCCTCTTGAGAGAGCCCTCAGACACAAAGATGCAGATACTGGCATCTGCAAGTTTAGGAACAGTTTTTGCTACACCTCTCTAAGCCTTAGTTTCTTCGGTTGTAAAATGGGGGATAATTATGCTACTTCTCAAGACTAAATGAGACATATCTATAAAACATTTAGCATAGAGCCAGATATCCATATGGTAAGCACTCAATAAATACCAGATACTATTGCTGCTGTAATAATTATTAGTTTTTTAAAAGGAAAAGATAGATCACCTTCACTTTGTGTGCAGGTTTGGGTTTTTTGACACCCACTGACCCTTCCAGTGTGAGTGCTGATAGGGGACAATTCTCCATGGGTCTCTTGTATTTCTTGCATGCAGAGGCACTAGCTGCCCTTTGTTCCAGGCTATCATTTAATTTGGATAGCCAATAGCCTTGGAGATAGAGATACTGTCCCCTTCCAGAGCCAAGGGCAGGTCTGTTTACTGTCCAATGCAATAAAGGTGATGTCTCTCTCTCTGGAGCAAAACTGGGCAGGTTTCTGGCAACCCATTATAGAAGATTTGAGTTCCCTAAGCCTGGGAATTCTCAGGTAAGCAAAGTGAAAAAGGGATTGAGGAAGATACTGGGAAGTCAAGGAAAACTGTGGAATACAGGGTCAAGAATATAGGAAGTAGTAGATCAATCAGGTACATGGAAGGGAACACTCAGGTAATTCCTCAAGCAGCAACCATCATCCATTATCAGCATGTGTACGCATTTGGGTGAGGCGTTCTTATCAAAGGACCAGAGTTAGAGCACAACAGGTGTACCCACTACCTCATTGCATGTGTAACATCCGCCTGGACCCTTCGTCATCATCGCTGTGAGATTTGGGAGCAAGGGGAGCTGACACTAATATACTATTCATGTTGCTATCGAATTCCACTGGGGGGCTCTGGGAGCCAGTGTGGAACATGTTGCTTGCTGTGCCATGGGTAATAGTCTTTGTCTTTGACCCAGGAGTCTCGTGTCTTCTGCCAGTGAGCGTGACAATGGGCAGCCTAATTTGTGAGCCTTCAAGTAGAGTAGCCTTCACAGTTCTTGTCAACTTGTAGCTAAGGGTTGAAAAAAGAACCTCCAGCTCCCCTAGAAAGGGGGGGATTTGCTTCCAGGCAGCCCCAGGTAGAACCACCAGATGAGCAACTGCTGCATTCACAGGCTTCCCTGCCCCAGCCCCGCCTCACACAGGCTCCTCACCTGGGAACTCAGAGAGGGTAGTCCACAGCAGGTCCATGTAATCCTCCTCACTCAGGTACTCACAGGCCAGGCTGCATTTTGCTTCTACTGCCTTCTTCTGGCTAGAAACTGGGAGGTGGAAGACAGGAGAAAGAAGAGCCATGCCTAGAACCTTGAATCACACCCTCCTGCTCCCACACCTCCTTCCCTGGGTATGCTTCAGCTGGGATACCGTGGAAAGGGCCCAGCCGTGGAGTCAGACAGACTGAGGTTCAAATCCCAACCGGCAGGGCTACAGCTTTATGTTTCTGAGCCTCAGTTTCTTCATAAAACTGGAGCTAATAAAACCACTGGGCAAGGTGGTTGGGAGAATGAAATCAGGCTGTGCATATGAATGTGCTTAGCCCAGAACTGGCACATACTAGGTGTTTCTGTGGCAGACAGACCCCCGGTGGCAGACAGACTCCAAGGTGGCCTCTATGATCCCCACCTATATTATCTGGCCCCCATTACTTCCTTGATCCCACCTTCTGTCTTTCTCCCTTGCTCTGTTCACTATACTCCAGCTACACTGGTTTTCTTGCTGTTCCTTCAACACTCCTGCCTCAGGACCTTTGCACTGGCTGCTGCCTCTTCCTGAATTGCTCTTTATATATCCCTATGACTAATTTCCTCACCTCCTTATGTCTTTCTTTAGATCTCACCTCATGGAGGCCATTCTGACTACCCCATTTAAAACTTCAACTGACCCACTGCCCCTTGCTCTGCCACCCATTCCTGACCTCCCTTATCCTGCTTGGCTATCTTTTTTCCCCATACATTTGTTAAGAAATAGCACGAAAGACTTTGAAATGGGCAGAATGTTTTGTCTAGTGCACCCTTACAAGTTGTATCACCTTTCATTATCTGTGAGCTATGCACATTATAGAATATTGACATTAATGCAAATGATTCTTGTCTATCAAAATGCAAATTGTGTCTGGTGATGCAATTGATTATTGCCTTATGCATATTGACAAGTTGTGCCTCTAATTGTGAAACCTTTCCAGCATTTCTGATTGCCTATATACATGTATTTTTGAATTCTCCTTTGAACCAGATGTAAACTCTCGCTGGCATTAGTAAACAATTCTCCATGGGTTGCTCACATTTCTGCATGTTTTATAAGCAAAGACACTGACTATCTTTGTTCTAAACTATCTTTTCAAGGACCTTTGTTTAACCAACAACTTTGACAGGAAGTGTCCAACTTTGGAGCAAGGGGCAGGTTTGCTTATGGCCTTCAATGGCATAGTGTCTCCCTGCAGGACAAGGGCAGGCTTTACCAGCTTTCTGTCTTTACCAGCCAGTATAAGAAAGCTAGGTGCCCTAAGCTCAGAGATCCCCTTTTGTAACATAACCCACTGCTTTTGCAGCTGTGGCCACCCTTCCTCATATTACCCTGTGGGAATGGGAACTCCTTATGGTGTAAGGAAATGCCGATGCTTCAGCTACTGCTATTACTGTGAGTAACAAAGTCCTTTGTCTCTGATCCAGGAGTGTTGTGTCTTTTGCAGGCATCTGTGGAAGCTGTGGAAGGCTAACTTGCTAGTTTACAAAGAGGTAAATCCTCAGACTTTTCTCAGTTCTTAACTGGTTCATTCATTAATTGATGAGTTAAATAAAATAAAATCTTTGATACGTGTTCATTGTATATTTGTAGGAGAGGCATGATTTTACCTTTTCTTTAAATTTTTTTCTTTGACACACCTATCACCTTCCAACACGCTATGTTATTTACTTACTTATGCTATTCTCTCTCTTTTTTTCTCTCCCCACCAAAATAAGAGCTTACAGGGTAGGGATATTTGTCTTTTGTGTTCACTGATGTATCCTAACAGCTAGATCAGTAACTGGCATATAGAAAACATCGAATGAATGACTTGCCCAAGGTCACACAACTACTTGGTGCTAGAACCCAGGCTCCCTGATTTCCAGCTATGGGCTTGTTCCACAGTATCACTTTCCCACCCGGGTATAAGAGAGAGCTTTAAACAGGAGTTGGCAAAATATCACCTGCAAGTCATATCTGGTCTCCTGCCTGTTTCTGCCTGGCTTGCATGCTAAGAGTGGTTTTTACATTTTAAAAATGATTTTTAAAAATCAAAGAGGAATAACACTTCATGACATAGAAATGGTATGCCATCCGAATTTGCATTCACGAATAAGGTTTTATTAGAACACAAGCAATGTTTGTTCATTAACCTATTGTCCACAGCTATTTTCCTCCTCCAATGGCAGAGGTGTATGTCCCACAAAGCCTAAAATTTGACTATCTGGCCCTTTATAGAAAAAGTTTGCCAATCCCTGCTTTGTAACATTCCCCTGGATCCTCTGCTTTGCTTCAGTGGGTCCACTGTTAGGGGCATGCGATTTATACTCTCTCAATACCAAACCCCAAAAATGCGGCTAAGCCACCAACTCATTAAATCCTTATACCAATAAACCAAACTATTAACTAAGATTATAGAGGCTTAGTATGAAAAAGATAACTGGGCAAATCCCGCAGACAAGCAAGAACTTGATCCCTTTATCCTCCACCCAGGTTTCAATGCTAGGAACCTATTCTTAAAGATAGAATGGTTTGAAAGCCCAGACATCTGCATATACACTTTGCTTTCTATTTTGTTCCTTTTGTACAGTGGCTCCCACCTCTAGCTGCACAATTGAATCTGCCTTCGACTCAGGTTGTGATCCTGGATTCCTGGGATCAAGCCCCACATGGGGCTCCCTGCTCAGCGGAGAGTCTGCTTCTCCCTCTCCCTCTGCCCCTCTCTCCTGCTCATGCTGTCTCTCACATGTGCGCTTGCTCTCTCAAATAAATAACTAACTAAATAAATAAAATCTTTTAAAAATAAAAAAAATAAAAGCTCCTCCGGGTGATTCTGTTGTGTGGCCAGGGTTGAGATCCAACCTTGTTCTCAGACCTCATGTGCACATGAGAATTGCTGCATAGGGTCACGGCCATCAAACTCAGGCTGTACTTCACCGAGCCCTTTAAGTGACATAAGATAGGACTCTGCCGTAATGTCACTTTTATCATGACAAGATTATTCGGCTTCCTACAGAGTATCTTGGAGACCACAGTCCGGGTCTTCTATGCTCATTTGGCAGAGACTTTCTCCCAGGAGTCTGCGAGGTAACATCACCAGTATTTGTGCATGGCCAGGCTCAGGAGAGGTGGAACCTGGGGTAGGCATGCGTGTGTGACTATGTAGGGTGGGAGTAGGGTAGTTTGATACTCACTGCTGCAGACATCTCCGGCCTGAAAGAGCTCAGTGGTGAGCAGAACTAATCCATAGTAAGAAAACGCATTGGAAAACCTGCCAGAAAGGAAGCAAGAAGAGGTAAGGAAATGATGGGAGAAATGCAAGTCCCCTTTCCCCATCCCCTCAGGAAGGACTTGCATCTATAACAGTGAGGACCAGTCTTTGGGCATGTTGACACTGGACCTTTGGGGGCTTTCCTGGGGCCCTTGAGCAGGAAAATGGCAGGCACAAAGCATAGTGATGTGATAAAGGGACGTGATCTTGTGTCCTTTGAAAGACCAAGAACTGTATTATATCACAGAGAACACCCAAGGCTGTTCATTCAACTGGCAATAGGGAAAACAAGTTTGGGGGACCAAAATTTGGAAGAACACAGTCATGGGTGACATTGATCAGGGCTTCTGGGCCAAGTTGGTCAACGTGAAGAGAGAAGAGGAGGGAAAAGCTTTGATAATAAAGAGCACTGGACTCCAGCTCTGCCCTTGAACTCCTGAGAGCTGAATCAACTCACCAAGCATTTATTAAACACCTGCTGTGTGCCCGGTACAAGTGTGGATTCTGCAGACTTCCCTAAAATTTCACATCAGAATGAAATAGTTAATTAATTCACAATTGTCCCAGGAACTAGAACACTCAAGTCTGTAGACCAGAACATTATCATCCTGTAGTACAGTTACATGGGAACTGTCATAATCAGACTGCAGTGATTAATTTCCTTGGGTTGCAATATGTGCTAGCAAATTTAGCAATTTCTATAGTGCACAAAAATTAGTCTCCAATTAATTGTTTCAGTATTTGGGTAGTGTCAGCCCAACTGAATCACCTGCATGCAAAGATAGATACCTTAAACTCCCACCTCCACTCCCTTTTAAAAAAGCCTACAGATTCCACACTTGTGTTGGGCACACAGCAGGTGTTTAATAAATGCCTGGTTCAGCTCTTAGGCATGCAGGGACAGAGCTAGAGCCCAGTTCTGTATATTATTAAAGCTTTCCCCTCCACTTCCCTGCAACTGACCACTTTTCAGGACAATCCCCTGCTAATTAGCACCTCTACTCAAAGGTGCATGGGAAACATGAGAACTGATTAAACCAGAATGCAAAGTGTTAGCCAGGCCCCTTCTGCACACTGTTCATGCTGTATACATGGTTTGGTAGAAAGAGAGTTCAAAGAGTAGCTGAGATTTAACTAGTTGTGGATTTTCAGGTAATTACTCTGTACAAATCACTGCCTTCCATCCTGCCCACATCCAGACATCACCAGTGGCTGTTATTTAAGGAAAATAGACCAGGATTAGGACTGAAAGTTCTAAGGATGCCTGTATTGACCAAACTAGTGGTTCCCTAAATGCGGTGGGTCCCATGCCCCTGGTGGTATCCAAGGCAATATTGGCCAAGAAGGGGACTCGTTGGAGCATGCATATGGAATCTCATTGTGACAAAAATCCGTTTTACATTTCCTTTCAATTACAGTTGACCCTTGGACAGCACAGGTTTGAACTGCACAGGGCCACTTGTAAAGAGCTTTTTTTTCAATAAATATAGTACACTACTGCAAGTGCATTTTCTCTTCCAGAAGATTTTAATAACATTTTCTTTTTCTCTAGCCTACTTTAAGATATAATATATAATACATACAACATACAAAATATGTGTTCATTGACTTTTTTATGTTACCAGTAAGCCTTCGGGTCAACAGGAGGCTATTGGTTAAGTTTTGGGGGAGTCAAAAGATTTCCGACTGTTCAGGGGTCTGTGCCTTTAACCCCCTTTCTGCATTGTTCAAAGTCAACTGTATTTTGATGATTTCCTAGTTTCACTTACTTGCTAATGAATGAGTCCTTAACACCTACCCTCTGTCTGTGTCTCTCTATTAAATACAGCAGCTCAGTGCCTTGGCAAATCCTCAATCTAGCTACTTTTTACTGTATAACTCTTGAAAATATATGGCCTGCACTTAAGGTTTTTTTCTTTAAAGCAGAAATATAAAATTCCCTCTTAAAAGACATTTATCTGAACCCTTGTGCATTAATGGTGGGAATGCAAACTGGTATAGCCACTCTGGAAAACAGTATGGAGGCTCCTCAAAAAATTAAAAATAGAACTACCCTATTGCATTACTGGGTATTTACCCAAAGAGTACAAAAACACTAATTCAAAAGGATATTTGCACCCCTATGTTTATTGCAGCATTATTTACAATAGCTAAATTACGGAAGCAGTCCATGTCCATTGATAGATGAATGGAAAAGAAGATGTGATACACACACACACACACACACATATATATATTTATATACACACACATATACACACAACAGAATATTATTCTGCCATAAAAAGAATGAAATCTTGCCATTTGTAATAACATGGATGGAGCTAGAGAATATGATGCTAAGTGAAATAAGTCAGTCAGAGAAAGACAAATACCATATGATTTCACTCATATGTGGAATTTAAGAAACAAAACAAACAAAGGAAAAGAAAAAGAGACAAACCGAAAAACAGACTCTTAACTAGAGAGAACAAATTGATGGTGACCAGAGGGGAGGTGGGTGTGGGGATGGATGAAATAGGTGATGCGGATTAAGAGCACACTTATCATGCTGAGCACTGAGGAATGTATAAACTCTCTGAATCACTATATTGTGTATCTGAAACTAATATAACGTTGTGTGTTAACGATATTAGAAATAAAATTAAAAACTTACTTTAAAAAAGGACATTTATCTGAGTCAGAAGTGAGTTCAATTAAAGAAAAAGACTAAGAAAATAATAGTACAGGTAATATCTGGAAAAGGCAGAGATCCCAGGAAAGTGATGCTCAAACCACTGAACTTTGTAATTGTTGCCTACGATCAAAGAGTTCTCTGTGCATTACATAAAAACAGAACACAAAACAGGGCACAGGTGAAGGGGATCAAAGTGTCAAGAAACAGCTCTTACCATATAAACCACAGCAACAAGGTTGTCCATCTAAAATGGGGCGTGAAAAGGTCCCTCATTCTGCCTCGGTCTTCCTGTTTCAAGACAAGGACATGCCGTTTGCTCTCCACTCCTCCAGCAGTGCTGGCATTGGGTGGACACCCACTGCTGGGAGGGAGGTTGCTGGTGGGCTACCTGCTCAGGATCCGAGAACCCAGGACTCAATCCCACAGCACAAAGTCCCCCAGCCCAGTGAGGCCCTCCAGCCAGGACCCAGCAATGTCTACAGTCTTGATTCCCCAAGGATGGAGACGTTCTGCAACCCCCAACCCCAGCCTGAATTCCTGGAGCCAGGAAGCAGACTCCATGCCCTGAGGACTCTCAGGTAGTCCCATAGACCCGGGGAGCAGTCAGTCAGTCCAAGGGGTGTCTAACCATTTCATGCCCCGACTAAGCCAGCTCTAGGTCAAGATCACAAAAATTAATGTGCTGAAAATTAATTCGCCAGAAGCCAATGTGCTGAAAGATTGATTAAACGACCTACTTGCCAATTTCATATAATTTGCTAAGTTATCAAATCTTTGCTCTACAATGTTCTTTTTTTTTAAGATTTTGTTTATTTATTTGAGAGAGAGAGAGCATGAGCAGGGGGAAGGGCAGTGGGAGACGGGGAGAGGGAGAAGCAGGCTCCCCACTGAGCTGAGCTGAAGGCAGACACTTAGCAGACTGAACCACTCTACAATGCTCTTTTTAAGAGTATATTCTATGAGGGGCGCCTGGGTGGCTCAGTCGGTTAAGTGTCTGCCTTCAGCTCAGGTCATGGTCCCAGGGTCCTGGGATCAAGCCCCACGTCGGGCTCCCTGCTTGGCTGGAAGCCTGCTTCTCCCTCTCCCACTCCCTCTGCTTGTGTTCCCTCTCTCGCTGTCTCTCTCTCTGGCAAATAAATAAATAAAATCTTTTAAAAATAATAATAAAATAAATAAATAAATAAAATCTTTAAAAGAAGAGTATATTCTATGACGGTGATCATATTCTTCTTAGATATATTTAACAAATATATTTTCCTTAGTTTGAGAAATGCTTGCTTATTTAAACATGCTAAATGCTTAAAAAAGGATTATGGACTATAGGTGGTTTAGTCTACCTGAATATTATTTTTGTGAATAAAAGGATTATGGACTATAGGTGGTTTAGTCTACCTGAATATTATTTTTGTGAATAAAAATATATTTTTTAATATAGTCTTGAATGGAAAAAACAATACTCCTTAAATATGTTTATGAATATATTTGAGAATGTATTTGTTGAATATATTTTGAAATAGGCTCATTAATATATTTAGAAATAGGTTCATTAATATATTTATAGAGAGAATATATTGAGGAAATAAATATATTAATGTGTACATAGGAAAAATATACTCCTATTTACTATATATATTCAAAAAGAAGGCTCCTTGAAACATGTAAAAAGATATATTACCAGGTTAATTCAGGAAAACTGGCTTTTGGAGAATTGGTCTGCTTCTGCTCTTTTTGCATGTCTCAGGATTTACCACACCCCACCCACGTACACGCTCCCACGCAGGTGCACGAACACACACGCCACAGACGGTGGGCCAGGCACGGACCTGTCTGGAGATGATGAGTTTCCCCAGCGGCATGGGGGCTCCGTTTTCGGTTGCTATCCTCTTTAATGTGGCAATGGCCTTTTCCTGATTCCCGGACAACACATCGTATCTTGCGCTCTCTGGCAGCCACTGTGGGTACAGGTGTGGCAGGTTAGGGTGGAACAGAACACTGGGTCCCAGCCACATACTCTCATCTGGGTGTGGAGTCTTTAAGGGGGGGGGCCTCTGCCTCCAGAGGCCTGGCTTCAAATCCTGGGCTCTGTCATTGATTATATTGGTTGTGTGACCTTGAGCAATTACTTGACCTCTCTGTGCCTCCATTTCCTCATCCATAAAATGGGGATAATGATAGATCCCATCTTTTCGGGTTGTTTAGGGGATTAAGTGAGATAATCCAGACAAAGTGCTTAGCACAGTGCCTGGAATGGGTTCATGTAGTTATGATTGCTGCCGTTGCTATTATTATTACTAATTGGTGTTGCTGTCAGAGTCCCCCCCAAAAATCTTAAAAATAATCTTTACAGGATGGTGTCCTCCTCCACCCCCTCCCCACCTAAATACAGTGAACAGCAGGAGGCCAAGAGACAAAGGTTGAGATGTCTTAAAGGATACCTACAAAACACAGGACCGCGAAGAGGAGCAAGGGGACAGCCGAAAGGAGGAGCAGCCAGCGCCAGCCCAGGCTGGGCATCACAAACACAGCCAGGACGACCTCGAACACTGTCCCGATGGCCCAGAAGACCTGGCATGGGAAAATGGGATCAGTTGATCACGCTCATGCATAGTCAACGCATGAGTAATGTCAGTGTCATTGTAGTTGACACTATCGATATGGGTAAGGGGTCCTTGGGGTCTGCAAAGTCAGAATGGCCACCACTTTTCCTGGGGTCCATAGAGTTGGGCCAGGGCCACCATGTTGTCCATCTGAGGGTGCCATCCACATGGTATAATATTGGCGTCGTACCCACTGGAGTGTACAGTGTGGTAGCTCTGGTTAAGGAGATCAGTACCACCTCGTGTGAGGTCAAGATGGTGACGGACACATTGGTTTTTGTTTACTGACATCCATCGCTCTTGCCCATTGGGGCCCTGGTATCCTTAGTCCCAATTGCCTCTTCTCTGCAGGGCTGAATATCTTCTGTGTGCCTCTCCGAGTCACTCCCCATCCTTCCCCACTTTGCTCTTTGAATGCACTGCATCCATAGACTTCCTGATTTCTGGCTTCCCACTGGGTGCAGCCAATGGGGAGCCCCACAGGAACTGGGAGAGAGGGAGGGAGGTAAGAGAGGTTGGGGCATTTACTCCTCTGGCTCCCTCTCTGCAGGGTGCTCATGGGCTCGCTGCATCTCTCAGCAGAAGGTCCCAGGTCATGTCCAATAGCTCTCAACATACAACTCTCCCTCTCTGGAATGTTAATTACTTCCTGCCTTTGCCTGGCAACTGGAACTTTCGGCCTGGGGCTATTTAGAAATAGTCCCTTTATCAAACTTTCTTCAAATTATCCTAATTTGGTTTTTTTTAAGATTTTATTTATTTATTCATGAGAGACAGAGAGAGAGAGAGGCAGAGGCAGAGGGAGAAGCAGGCTCGCCGCCGAGCAGGGAGCCCGATGTGGGACTCGATCCCAGGATCCCGGGATCATGACCTGAGCCGAAGGCAGACACTTAACCGACTGAGCCACCCAGGCGTCCCCAAATTATCCTAATTTGAGTATGCTGGTTCCTGTTGGGACCCTACAACTATTGCCCATTGACAAACCTGGTCCTTCAAGTTTCCCCATCAGTTCTGGGAGCCCATAAGAGCCCTCCGAAATCCCCTTTTGCTTAAATTAACCACATTTCTGTTGCTGACAACCGGGGGTGATAGTCAAAATGTCTAACAAACTGATACAGGACTGACCAACTAGAATGGGTACCAGACATACCCGCTCCCAACACACACACACACACACACACACACGATTGTGCCAGGAGTTAACTCTTTAGTTGCTAGATCATGGGAAGTTCTAGGGGGTCCTAGGAGAGGACAGGGTGTTAGGTGATGAGGCCTAATCAGCGACCAGGATTTGCTGGCACAGATACATCTCAATATTTAAATAGTTGGTTCATCCATACCAGTATGGACTAGCTGACTACCATCCTTATTGGTCAGGGGTAGATGCAGTCAGGGTGGTAGATTGGGCCGTGGGGTTAATGTAATTAATATTGTCAGTGTGGTCATGGTGGCTAGAGAATGGCATCATAGACATCACTGTGGACATCAGTGTCCGGAAAGGTCAAATAAACCCTACTGCCCACTGCATGGCACCATTGGGCAGTTACATATTTGCCCTGAGAGCTTCCAGATCATGATGGGAAAATGGGTCACAAGACCCTGGCAGGAAGAAGGCTTGAGAGGGACTAGCTGGACAAAGGACCTTTTAAGGCAGCCTCTAGGTTACAGAGGTGGCCGCTCACACAAGACACAGGTGAGTCCAGATACAAATAGGGGTGGAGGGTGATGATATGGACAAGGGACAGGAGTTTTGGTTCCCTTGGCTGCACTGTTCGGCAGCGACTCTCAGATAAAAGCCATTTCTAGTCCAAGAATGACATACCACCAGCCTGCCACCATTTTTTTTAAGAGATTGAAATTTTTGGCAATTGAAGAATTTATCTGTATAGCAAAAAACCCCCAAAAAACAAAAAACAAAAAAAAAATGTTCAAATTTACATAACTGACAAAGTCCCATTTCCTTATCCTGTGGCTCAGGACACCTGAGAATCTCCTGCTCAGAGACTGAACACTATTGGAAAACCCAGACCACCCTCCTTACCTCAATCAGCAAAATACACTTAGCTCTGGCCTTCATGGGAAGGAACTCAGCGTACAGCGTCACCCTGGGAAAGCAGAAAGATATGAAAGGAGTTAAGGTCAGGACTGAGTAAGAAGATTGCCACAGCTTTCCGAATTTCTTCTTTTTTTTTTTAAGACTTCATTTATTTATTTATCTGAGAGCAATAACATGTGAGTGAGCAGGGTTAGAGGGACAAGCAGACTCCATACTGAGCATGGAACCCAGACACAGGGCTCAATCTCACAACCTTGAGTTCATGACCTGAGCCGAAATCAAGAGTCCGATGCTTAACCAACTGAACTACCCAGGTGCCCCACTTTCTGAATTTCTAGGTCAACATTCCTCTGAGGGTGGTCTGTGGACCACTTAACTTCAGAATTTCCTGGGACAATGGCTAAGTACTTAGATCTCCACGCCCTACCCCAGACCTCTATCTATCATCTATCTATCTATCTATATCTATCATCTGTCTTGGTCTTTCCATTTCTCTCTCTCTCTCTCCACATGCACACCATACATCTATGTCTGTTTCTATATCCATGTGTGTATATGTATTTAAAAAAACAGTGAGTTCCCACTGATACTTTCAATTCCAGTCCAACCAGAAGGTTAGGGTTCTTTCTTTCTTTCTTTTTTTAAGTAATCTCTATACCTAACACAGGGCTTGAACCCAGAACCCCGAGATCAAGTGTCGCATCCTCTGCTGACTGAGCCAGCCAGGCACCCCAAGGTTAGGGTTCTTTCTAGCCCTCCCAGTTTCCGTGTTCGTAATTCCCTTCTCCAACACTGAGACACCCAGGCCTCTTTATCCTCAATACCTGCTTGATCCATTTATTTGCTTGCTGAATGTAACCAATGCCCTAAATATACTGGCTGCCTCCTCCATCTACTGCATTCTTGCCCCCTTCCCCTACCTTTCACTTCCTCAGCCATTGGCCATGCTGGAAAGAGAAGGAAATCTCTAAACTTCTTCCCCATGCTGCCTTCCACATCTCCCACCTAAGCCAAGCATCTGAGCAACCAGATGGCTTCATGTTACTCTCCTGGCTCCTCATAAGGGAGACGGGGTAGAGAGAGGCTAATTTCCATTGACCCTTTTGAGGCAGATACTGCTGGTAACCCATCTAGGTCTCCTGGGATCCCTTTACTAGTTCAGCTGGCCCAACTCCCAGCTGCTTCTAATGGCTCATCCCTGCAAACTTCTAGAATTGCTCTTGAACAATTGGAGCTGCCTCACCAGAATGATGTCTTTCCCTGCATAACATCTAACATTTGAAAAGTTGGTCTTAAAAAAAGAAGAGAAAGAAAAGTTGGTCTTAGCAATATCATCAAGATTTAGGAACAGTTCTTCCTCCAGTAGAAGTCCTTCTTAGGGTTATGATAAAAGATACCTCTGTCAAAAGAAGGAAGAATTCTTAGGCGCCTCAGAGAAAAGGCTAGGGCTTTAGTCATTCAGATATATTCTATTTAGAGAAAAGCATGAAGAGAAAGTCAATTATCACCTAGTTTAATTCATGGTATAAGTATTTCAGTATATTCTCTCTTCCTGTCTTGATCTTTTGTCTTTATCTCTCTCCCTTTCTCTTTCTTAATCTCTCTCTGTAGCTAAGATCATACTCAAGAATTTTGAACGCTACTTTTTATTTGATTTATAAATAGCATTTCCATGCCATTTAAAATCCTCTTACACACATATGTTCTACCATATGCATGAACCATTCTTTTCTTAATAATAGCTACCTTTTATTGAGGACCTATTATGTGCCAAACACTCTTCTGGATGTTTTACATGGATTGTCTCACTCAAACATTTCAAATCAATGGAGTAGATACTTATAATCCTGTGTGTGTGCATGTATCTTTGATTCTCATTTTTATCTCTAGATCTACCTATGTCAGATAAATTGTTAATTGACCAGGATCACACAGCTAGTAAGTTAGTAAGTAGAAAAGCCAAAATTCTAAATTCTAACCCAGATCTGTCTATATTTTGTAGCCCATCCCTCTTTGGATGGTTTCACAATTATATAATGCTTCAATAAACATTATCTTTAGGCTGAAGACATCTTTGTCTTCGTGTGGTTTCCTTAGGATAGGTCCCTGTTAAGTAGAATTTGTGTCAAAGGGCATGCATAGTTTTAAGGCTTTTGATATATAATACCAAAGTGGTTCCCCCAAAAAAGCTTACTCTGATTTATACGTCTACAAGTAGCTCTTTCAACAAAAACCATTAGGAATTTCATTAACTCAGCCCTGAGAATAAGGATCAAGATTATAGTGGTTACGGAGGTTACAGCAATTACCATGGATGACTTCTTTGAAATTTGTATGCTGTTCTCCAAATGGTGTGCTTATATTATTTAAAAAATCAATAATAATAATAAAATGAGAAGCATGTTTACCTGTCCTCCACCAAATTAAACTACTAACGAGGCAAAAACGTGCAGCAGCATATTCTAAGGGCAAAGTCATGCCTGTCCTTAGATGGCAAGGATTTCTTTTTATAATGAAGCTATAGCATGTGGTAGTTTTTCTTTTTTTCTTTTCTTTTAGTTACAGAAGTAGTACCTGAATGCATTTGCATTGGGAAACAATTAAGCAATACATAAGTATACAGAGCATATGATAATTCTTCCTCTTCCGCATTGCCCCTACTTCCATTCCATTCCCCCAAAGCCATAATAACCAGGAGTTTGCTTTGCAACCTTCCAGCTCCTTCTCTATGTAAATAAATAAATTTAAGCAACACATCTTTCTTTTCCTTCTCTCTTTCCTTCTCTCTTCTTCCCTTTGTCTCTCCCTCCTTCCTCCTTCTCTTCCATTTTTCCTTCCTTCCTTCCTTCCTCCCCTCGTTCCTCCCTCCCATCTTTCCTTCCTCCCTCCTTCCCTCCTTTCCTTCTCTCTTTCCTTCCTTCCTTCACACATGCAGCACACTGTTCATGTTCCACCGATAAAAATGCCCCAACTCTTGCCACTTCCATGCATGCCATGCATGCCTGTCCAGTTTCCAATTGTCAGTACCCGTAACTCTCCCCTGAGTGCTTTCTCTGGTTATTAAAGCTCACTCTGCTAACCTCTGTGGCAGACCAGGAGTGCCAAGGAATTTAAACTTCCCAGGAGCATCTCTCAACAAATGACATTTCCCTCGTCCCTTGAATGGGACGATCTGGAGATGCGTGCCACAGGATCTCCCAGACTAAACTACTTGCCCTAGCATCTCTGTGTCAAGATCTGCCTTCAATAAGACAGTTTGGAAATCTTCCCATATTAATATACATATATTTACTGCATTATTTTTAAACAGCTGCAACCCTGTTGATTAATAGATTGTTTTCAATTTCTTGTTTTTGCCACCTCTGCCACAAGAAACATTTTTTCTTGTAATTGTTGTGTCCCACACTGGCCATTATTTATAGCAATTCATTATGAAAATGAGCTGTTTGATCTTCATCCAAAGTGTGGTGATTATTACAATCACACTGAAGAATAAAAGAATGAGCAATGAAAGTAGCAATGCCAAGAAGCAGTTGATACTGGTGTCAATAAACTCCTGCTGAAAATAATCACATTTACAGCACTTGGCAATTAGAGATTTGCCATTTGGATCACATGCTTGCAAAGAAGTGACCTGTGATCTCCATTCGGCATTTCTGTTTGGTCTGGAGGGGAAAGAGCAGTGCCAAGGATAGGTTTGTGAGCAAGCTCCACCCAGACACCAATCTGAAGAATCTTCTGAGAAGGTCTCAAGGTGGAACAGGTGTTCCTGGAGTATTAGTCTTCAAGCGTGGCTAACACACAAGCAGGATGCCTGTTAAGGCAGGGCTCCTTCTCAGTTTCTTAGGTAGGAGGCATTTCTGCTGAAATACTTGGCATCCTCTATCGGAAACAATAAACAATCAGCCATGGTGCCTACATGTTTCTTATATATATTTTGTGTATATTTTGCAACTAGAGGCAATGATCATTTTTTGATGCTTATCTGCATTTTCTAAAACAAAAATGTATTACTTGTAATGATAAAACTTAAGTTGCTTCTAATTTTTTCACTTGAGTTAAAGTCTCTTCCCTCTTGATGCTCCTCCATAGACAGAAAAACTAATTATTTGGCATCCTAAATGTGATCCTCTTTCCTGTCTTAATTAAAGGGAACAGAAACCACTCAGAACTTCCAGTTCTATGTCCCAGAATCATCTCCAAATCAGTACCAGGGACCCAGTGGACATTAATGATTTACCAGGACTTTCTGACTATATAAGCTTTGAATCCTTTCAGGACATCTGTTCAAATGTAAGAACTTTGGCATTAGATGGGTGTGGATTTGAACCCAGTTTCTCCACATGGTAGATGGTTTGCACAAGGTGCTTCACTATTTTCCCTCCCTGTGTCTTGCTTCCTTGCAGGTCAGTCCATGCAAAGTCTACTTCCCCATCCCTTGAATCTGGGCCTTGAGACTTGCGACTTGCTCTTGTTCAACAGAATGTTGCAAACGTGATATTGTGCCAGTTCCAAGCTTGGGTCCCAAGAAGCTCTACAGCTTTTGCTTGCTCACTTGGACCCCTGGCCAGGTGCCACGTGACCGGGTGCCATGTGACCAGGTGCCCAGGCTAGCCAGCTGAAGTTTGAGAGGCTTGTGGAGATAGACGAGTCAGCTGTGGCCATGCTAGCCCAGCCAGCCCCCATCCAATTCACCAGGTGATTGGAGACACATGAGTGAGCCTTGCTGCGCTCAGAACCATACTGCCCAACTGCAGAATCGTGAGTTCAATAAATTGTTGTTAAGCCATAAATGTCAGGGTGGTTTGTTACAAAGCAAGAGGTAATTCCACGCTCCATTTAATAACTATATGACCTTAAGCAAGCCACTTAATGATCTCTGAGCCTCAGTTTTCTCTTCTGTAAACTGGGGATGATAGGGTTGTCAGTGAACAAGATGAGCACTTAGTATAGTGCCTGGTACTTGGTAAGCACTCAATGGACATTGTGATGATGACCATCATCACTATTAATGTTACTATCGCTATCACCAAGGACCAATATAAACAC